CATCTACTCTCCTAACCGGATCATCAGATGGTCGACGTTTAATGTGACCAAACCATCTAAGACGACTTTATCTATCTTTGTCCTATCATGAATATATTCATTCCGCATTTTGTCTCTAAGTGTCAAGCCACTCATCCACCTAATCATTCTCATCTCGGCAACACTTAACTTATTATTATGCTTCTCTTTTAAAGGCCAACATTCAGCGCCATAGAGCATTGCAGGTCTCACCATCGTCTTATAAAATTTTCCTTTCAGTCTAAGCGGTACTTTTCTATCACAAAAAAGGCCTGAAGCATTCCTCCACTTCAACCAACCAACTTGAATTCTACTATTAACATCCCCATCTATATCACCATCGCTTTGAACAACGGACCCAAGATATCTAAATCTTCACACCTTTTAATAATTTGATCACCCAAAGTCACACTTTTGTCACTAGAGCTATTGCTACTAAAATTACATTTCATGTATTCAATTTTAGTTCTACTTAAACGAAGGCCTTTAGACTCCAATGTAGATCTCCATAATTCAAGTTTTTCCTGGGCTTTTTCTCTCGTTTTATATATGAGAAGGATATCATCAGCAAAAAGCATACACCAAGGTACATCCTCCTGTAGATGTCCAATAAGACCATCCATAACTAAAGCAAAAAGATATGGGCTTGAAGCCGATCCCTGATGTAATCCAACAGAAATAGGAAAATATTTTGTCAATCCTCTTTCAGGTTGAACACAAGTAACAGCTCTAGTATACATATCTTAATGACTAGAAAATATTTTGTCAATCCTCCTTTAGTCCCTGAACTTTTCTATCAAATAGAAGAAAATTCAGCGGCAGTTCCCTTTCTTTTGAATTTTTCTTGTAGACTTCTTCGCTGAAACTCTTCTGTCTGGCAGAAGCAGCGATAATAGAAACATAAGTAGCAACTGATCCTCTCCAAGATGCAAGTCATTGGAGTTCTCCCTTTCAGGATTCTCCTTACAACATGAAATATCTTTGATGCAGGCCCTCCTCTGGCATAATTCTTCTTCAGACAATTGTCTTCCTGCAGGCCCTCTTATGGAATTCTCTGTGTTCTTGCAAGCCATCTGCCGGAGCTTCTTCCTGTAGCAGGCCCTCCGCTAGGGCTTTTATTATAAACCTCAGTTTTACTTTCCGAAATAAAGAATTTAGGAGCTATTAGATACTTTTTGGGCTTGGAAGTGGCCAAGTCTAATGCAGGAATTATGATATCTCAAAGAAAGTATATTCTAGGCGTACTAAAAGAGATATGGATGATGGGGTGTAAACCTATTGAGGCTCATATGAAATTCAAGAAAAAGTTACATTCAGGAGGGAGAAAAACCACCGACCTCATTAATAGAATGCCATGTAAAATTCTTAGATTCAAAGCTCATCTTCATATTTTGATGAAAAAATACCCTCATTTTAGTGCTTCTCATTTAATGATCTTTTAAAAATATTTGGCTCTCTTTTATCCACCTTCACCAACCAAGCCCCACGAAGGTTGATCTAAAATCTATTAAATGTGTATTCCTTAGTTCTACTTCTAACAAAAAAAGAACAAATGTTATTCTCTCATTACGAAAAAATATTACAATTCCATTGATGTTACCTTCTTTGTCAACCCTATTATTTAAAATCTTATATTCTTGCCACATAATTTGAAATCAAGGATTTAGGAGCTATGAAATATTTTCTGGGCATGAAAGTGGCCAAGTTTAAGACGGGAATTGTGATATCTCAAAGAAAGTACGTTCTAGATATACTAAAAGAGATATGGATGTTGGGGTATAAACTTGTCGAAACTTCTATGAAATTTAGCAAGAAGTTACATTTAGGAGGGTAAAAAGACATTAGCGGAAAAATGTAGTTATTAGAGATTATTTGGAAAGCTTATCTATCTGACACACAGTAGAGTGATATTTCGTCAGCATTGTGAGTCATCATATGAATAATCCAAATGAAGAACATTTGAAGATAGTTTACAAAATATTGGGGGTTTCTTAAGAAGACCCCTAACAGAGGGTTATTGTTTAAGAAATCTGACAATAAGGGGTAGAGACTTACAATGATGCTAGTTGGGCCGGATAAGTCACTGACAAAAGATCCACATCTTGGTATTATTCTTATGTATGAGTAAATCTGGTGACATGGAAGAGCAAGAAGTAAGCAGTGGTCTCTAGAAGTAGTGCATAATATGAGTACCGAGCATTTTGTGAAGGATTGCGGACCCGAAAGTTATTAAATGAGTTGGGATACTCTACGGTGAATTCTATAAAGATGTTCTGTGACAAGCTAAGCCACCACTAGTATCACAAAGTTTCTTGTACATCATGACAAGACTGAATACATTGAGATTGGTAGACATTTTATCTGTGAAAAGGTCAAGGGTGGCATCATTCACTTGATCTATATTCCAAACTCATATCAAAGTGGAAGCTGTTTTCACAAAATCTCCACATCCAGGCAGCTTCATGGATTTGAACACCAAGCTGGATCTCTACAACATCTATGACCTAGCTGGAAGGGGGTGTGGAATTATGTGTTTTCTATTTTGATTTATCCTCATTTATTTCTCTATTATTGTGTTTGTAATTTTTTTCTTATGTGTTTGTTGTATCTTTGGTAAGTTATAATTGTAGGAATTATGTTCGTCCTATAGTTTATTCTCTATATAATGAGAGGACTTGTAATTTGAAGATTAAGAAATTAGAGAATTTTCTCTCATGTTCTTTTACCAAATTATTTTTTTTGCATAGGTAATGGTCATAAATAATTTTTTCCTTTGGCAAATGATGCTGGAAAGTGCCAAGTCAGGCCTATGAAATTAATATTTACTCTATTCAAGCAAAAATATATTGGATTGGGATAGGGAGACATGGGTCACGGTTGGGGCTAACACCTATCACTATATGATTTGAAATGAAATTACTATTAAAAGAAAAGCACTTGCCCTTGGATTTATTGCCTGATGAATATGACTTATTAAAACAAGAGACAAAGATTGTTTTTGAATTTGTGAATAAATTTGAAGAATTGTTACTACATTGTGAAAGCAAGGAGAATCCAAAAACAATGCTTTTTAGGTTTAAAATGGCTTAAGATTTAAAGTGAAAAAGAGAATTGACCCATATATCATTAATTCGGTTGGGGATGCTTTTCAACTTGCTTCAAATTTTGAGCAACAACAAAAAAATTCTCACATTTAAAAGAGTTTCTTCATATGTAGGAAAGTCCTTATTCCAGCAAAGTAATCAAACCTAAGTCAACACGCTAAAGGCTAGTAACACCACTTTCAACAAAGATTCAAAAGGAAAATAGTAGCTACTGCTTTAGGATCCAAAATTTTGCTAAAGTTTGTGTGAAATGTCGCTAAATAGATCACCTTGTGAATGAGTGTTGTGGTAGAAATTTGCACATTAATGCTGAAGAAAAAGGAGGTTAAGGGGGAAGATGTAAAGTTATGTCCATAATTGCTATAACAAGAATTGGAAGTTACTGGCTATTCTACTACTTCACCTTTTTTCTTTTGGGAGTCGTTCGTACCCTACTAATAAGAGGTTCCTTCTTGCTTCTTCATCCTGCCCCTTCTTACCTGCCGGTCCTTATATACTGCATTAATTCCCTCTATTTTTGCCTTTTATTCTTACTCATAGCCTTATGCTGTTCGTCTTTTTTTTTCTCGCTGTTCTTGTTACTTTCCTTACATTATTCCTGTTGCTGTTGCCTTTACCAGCTTAATACACCATGTTGCTTTTATTGCATGGCAATCATGATAAATGCTTTCTGTTTCATGCAATTATTGGCTCTATAAGTGCTTTGTTTGATGTCGCCACTTGCCCGTTTTGGCCCATCTTATGATAAATATTGAATTGGAATTTTCAAATCATTAATGCTGGTGGACTTCATGAATAATTTGTTGAAACTTGTTTTTGAATAACTTGAACATATTTTCAGAAATTCTTATTTTTGGTCCATTGTGGGCTATACATTATCCATGAGGCTTGTAAGAAGCATTGAGTATTGCAATAGGAATTCTAGCTGATTTCATTTCTTGTGTGTATGCTGGTTGGATATGTATTATATGGATTTCAAAGTGTTTGTAACTGATTATATTGTTTTTTTTAGAGTGAACTAGGCCCTTGCTGAGTTGCTGAAGTTTTATGTTTTCTTACTTTTTTTTTGGGCAAATTTTAGATTTTTCGTACCATTAAAATATTCTTTGAGATGAAAAAAAAGTATTCTTGCTGTTTTTACATTCTGACCAATTGATTTTGCTTAATTAGTTGTTAGTAATATGTGGATTGTGATTTTTTGTATTTTCATTGTATTTTATCATAGTTTCTTTTAGCAACTGTAAAATTGTACTTGCCTTACATCCAATGTTTTTAAGGCGCAAATGTGTAATATGTTGCACAAGGATTTATTTTTGCTTCAAACCATAAAACGTAGAACGAAGCAACACTTTTATTAACCAAAAATCTAATAGATTAGACAAAACTATTAATGTATAAGTACATTCATTAATTATTATCAAATATAAAGTATGACTTAAAAGTTGATATAAAATAAAAAACATGTGGTACATTACATAACTTTAAGGTAAATATTTATGGTAAATCTAAAAATTAAAAGTTTGAACAATTTCTAATAGCTTGCCGCAATGATTAAAAAAATTAAAATTTGCATAAAACCTGCAAATTAATTTCAGTGCATCGAAGCACACCTTGGCGAATCGAAGCGGGCATTATGCGCTTCACTTCACTTTGTTGGTGAAGCGTCATTTTATAAGCATTACCTACATCATCATGATTGTTTATTAAGAATTATTTAGATATCATTTTCTAGAAATTTTAATGATTTCTATTTTCTTGGATAAGGTTTGACAATTGCTGTAGATTCGAATCTCCGTGAATTAATTTGCTATGCTCACCCTCTCAAGATTGTCATTGTATTATACATTTTTAATCTTCATGCTGCTTTATTTTATGCAGGCTGGCCTGCATTCCATCAATCTACTGTTCATTCCAGTCCTCTTCTTTTTGATATTGACAAGGATGGTACAAAGGAGATAGCTTTAGCAACATACAATGGAATAATTAATTTTTTCAGGTAGTTATTTCTATTCATTTTTATCTGATTCTATTTTAAGAAGCTTACTTTAGCTGTTGCTTAGGACCTCTGGCTATTTGATGATGGATACGCTAGAGGTGCCTCGAAGAAAAGTTCGCAAAGACTGGTATGTTGGTTTGCATCCAGATCCAGTGGATCGTTCACATCCAGATGTTCATGATGACCAGCTTGGCCAAGTGGCTTCTGGTACATTTCTAGTGCCTCATAAGTACTCAAATTTCTAGCTCTTATGGTTTGGAAATGACAATGCAACATTGGCTTCTGGATCTTCGCTAATGCTGACTTTTCTGATGTTGGCATCAATGCTTCTGAAGGAAAAAAAATGGGAGGATCCATTTTGATAAGATTGTCTTACGCAGCAGCTGTGGCGATACATCATTATGTTTATCCGAGAAAAAAAAATCGTTGTTATGAGAACTTGCTTTTTGGGGTTTAGTTAATATGCTAGTGAATGTTAATCACCTTGTTATTCTGTTTTAATACAAATGCCCTGGTTTTTATCTGTTACCATGCTGCCAAATCTCACGCCCTGTATCACCTATTATTGCCTTTTTAAGTTGCTCAAACTGCTTGGATGAGTTGTTCCTTCTCTTTTGGTCAAATTTTTGTTTGATTAGCTTGAAGCTATGAAAATAATTGAACTTCATCAAATTGAAAGGTCGTATCTGAACCCTACACTTTTAGTGCTTTTCTTTATCATACAAAATTTTCTATTATATGTACCAATCATATATTTCTCTTCGACAAGCCAATTGAAGTGCATATAGTTAAATATCATTCTAGCTGGAGCTTGAATATATTGAGTAGAGCAGTTTGTGAAAATTTGGAAGTCACCACAAAATATAACCAGTTAGTTTGTCTAATCTTGCTCTTTTGGTTGGTCATGTAAGTTTTAAGTCGCCTTATATTTCTATTCAATGCATTTCTTGAACAGGTGCTGCCGAAAGCACTTCCAAATCAAATGCAAGCTCTATGGGACTTAAAAGTACAAGTTCTTTGAATAGGTCGAAGGATGAAAATGAGGAAAAACACGATTCTCTTCAAACAGCTTCTGCAGGCCAAAAAATTGAGCTGCTTAATAAACAAGATACTGCAACAGTGCATGATGTTTCAGCGGAAAGATTTGAGAGAGACAATAAAACCCTACATTTGTCATCAGAAAATCCTGAGAATGTCAATAAAAGCATAAATGATGCGTTATTGGGAAGTATTATGGGAGAGAACTCAACACATGCTCAGAGAAGACTTCTAGAAAATGGGTCAGGTGCTAATCAGCAGGGAAGTTCTGAAACTCATAACATTGATGATACTGGAGTGCATGAGGCCACGGTGGAAAATGAGGGAAGCTTGGAAGGGGTTGCTGATGAATCTTTTGATTTGTTTCGAGATGGAGGCACCGAAGATTTAGCTGATGAATATAATTATGACTATGATGATTATGTTGATGAGTCAATGTGGGGAGATGAAGAGTGGACTGAAGTGAAGCATGAAAAATTGGAAGATTATGTGAATGTGGATTCACATATCCTCTGCACTCCTGTATGAAGCATTGACGACATTTCTGTGCTACTATTGTACATTATTTGTTGATTACAATCTTTTTTCTTCCCAGATTCATGATCATGCTATTCTCGATTTTGTTAGGTGATTGCTGATATTGACAATGATGGTGTACAGGAAATGGTTGTCGCTGTCACCTATTTCTTTGATCGTGAGTAAGCATCCTGCCCATGATGTTTCACTCATGTGATTAAATCATCCAATTAGGGGATGGAATGATCCATGATAGTCGTATATGTTTTAGCTTTATCAAGCAACTACTTGCTAATATGTCAACTTGCCCTGATGCACGTTTCAATATGAAATTTGTAATCCTACTGTTAATGATCAACATAATGTTATTGTGAACCTGGAGATTTCATGAGAAAATGTAAAAACTAGTTAAAGGACTACATATTTTGGAATTTGGATCTTAATATGCGTGAATGACAATTTTTGAATTTTGATGCTAAAATGGTAATTGTATCTTTAATTTGTCTTAGGGATATAGAATTTCAGATGTTAAATAGTAAACTTCTATCGGTAGGACATCTACCATGCAAATGGATGTTGTATGACATTTTATACTGGAAATTTCTGCTGCTTGCTTGCAATCCATCTTTTGCTGTTAATGTTTAAAAAGGTATAGCTAGAACTTCAAAAGTAGAAGGCTAGTGTCTTGCACCTGTTTTTCCCAGTTTCTTTTTGTTAATCTCTTTCCCTGCATTTTGTCGAGCCAATTTTGTTGCACCTGGCAGTTATGTTAAATACGGAAATCCTGAGACAATTGCATCTAGGACCTTAGGCTTAAGAGAGAATGGTTCAGCATTTGAAGAAAGGCTGCCATTTTTAGTTCATTCTGCTTAAATTGTGTTTTGTTAATCTTGTATTTTTATGTCCATGATATGTTCTGAATATGGAAATCAGTAATTTACTTCAAGTTGGCAGGTACTATGATAACCCAGAACATATGGCTGAGTTGGGTGGTATCGATATTGGGAAATATATAGCAAGCAGTATCGTAGTATTCAATCTTGATACAAAACAAGTGAAATGGACCGCTGAACTAGATTTGAGTACTGATGCTGGGAATTTTCGTGCATATATATACTCGACTCCTACTGTCATCGATTTGGATGGTGATGGAAACCTGGATATTCTTGTTGGTACCACCTATGGCCTGTTTTACATATTGGATCATCGGGGTATGTTACATAATCATCTTCTCTCACATTCCTAATTCTCACAAATTCATATTATTGTAGGCGATTTTTGTTCGCCTTATGTTACATAATCATCTTCTCTCACATTCCTAATTCTCACAGATTCATATTATTGTAGGGGATTTTTATTCACCTTACTATTATGTTAATGATTTATTGGTATGGTTATTTTATAAAGAAAGAGTGATTTATATCATTGAGAGTAATTTATTTTTTGTTGGAGAACATATCAACTGTTTGAATGAAGCAAAAAGACGTTGGCACAAATTTTGGCGGACTATTTTCAGAGTAAACAAATATGTTAATTGTTCTCTGTCCTTATAGCCATACTTTATGTAATGTTTTCAATACATTTCCTGAAAACCTACCATTGTAGATATTCTTTCCTGGCCATTGTGGCTGATATGCTATGAACCTCTCAGGCCATATTTATATTCTACTAGCTATTTTATCACTGCAAAAATTTTGATTTAAATATAGGTTGCGAACATCGTTTTTTTTAGCTTGCAAGGATGATCCAAATTGATATTTGGTGTTTCTCTAATGATAGTAATGTCTATTTGTAATAATAGCTATGTTGCTATACATGCTAGGTAAGGTGCGAAACAGATTTCCGTTGGAGATGGCGGAGATTCAGGCACAAGCGGTTGCAGCAGATATAAATGATGATGGAAAAATTGAAATAGTGACAACTGATGTGCATGGCAATGTTGCTGCATGGACTGCAGAAGGCGATGAAATTTGGGAAGTGCATCTTAAGAGTCTCATTCCCCAGGTAAGTTATTTTCAACACTTTTAGTTTTTCATCTGTCAGAATAGACGAACTTACTAACTTAATATGAATATGCTTATATATTTTCATTAATTGGAAGGAAGATGGGAATCTAGCTGGCATGATTATGCCTTAAACTTATGATTCTGTCTTATTCCTGCATATAATTCTGAGGTTTTCTTGTGATTTTTTGTGTTTGTATGGTATGTAACATTTGTGTAGTTGTTCTAGGTGTCATTCCACTTCAAATTTGAACGAGTTAGCCATGAATTGAAATTGAAAAATTTAATTGCAGTTCTAGTTAGCTTTAAATTGGTGAAAATGGATAAATAGTGGATTTTCAAGCAAATCAAGGCAAGCCAAATCTACAACAATTAAGGATCTAGGTTTTCCAATGCAACCAGAGTGATGTGACATGTAATTATGAAACATAAGTATTGATAAATCATTAACCACTAAATAAGCTTCTAAATTACTTTCTTTATGTGTAGTAGTAATTGGTAGAACTAATGATATAATGATTGAGTGCATCCAAAGAAATTAACAAAAAATTTAAACCAAATCAAATCATCAAGGAATTTTAATTTAAACCCCATGAATAGATTTTAACTTGGGAAATTTGACCAAAATCAAGAGAATTTGCAAGCCAATAACAAATCATGCAAACAAAGTTGCTTCAAAAGTAATCACTCAAATAATAAATCTAAGTCTTTTGCAGGCACAAGAAGATGTGTTCCCCTATAATCAGATAGTTATATTTGTATCGCACTTGAATAAATCATATATCTTACCTGTATTATAAGATTGAAATTGTGAGAAGGAAATTTTAATTTCATTTTTTTTCGAAGTTATGTAAGTATATGCCGTAGAACATTCCTGTATAGAGTTATAGACTCCTCATCTCCTAGGCTTGTGGATTTGGTTTGCACAATATTAACTCAATGCCAAGGTTAAGAGGTAGACCTAACAAGACTTGGGCATATCGTATAAAAAATGATTTTAATCTATTAGAATTAAATGGAAATATACCCTCAATAGGATGCAATGGAGAAATAAGATTCATGTAACCGACCGCACTTAGTGGGATAAAGGCCTTTTTTTTGTTATTTTTGTTGAGACTTTCCATGATGTTCTCAACATTTATCTTTGATATGTTCAAACTTCTTGCAATAATCACATGTAGGATGGTTCTTCTTCACCTTTGAGTCATGAGAAGGATTATGGGTATATAGAGCTAAATTTTGAGTGCTTGCTGAGCCCCTACATCTGATTTGCATCAGCTTCTTCTTGCTCTCTTTTCTCTTGATTTTACAAAGGCTTCGTGGGGAGATGTAAGAGGTTTTGTTCTCCCTCTTAACTCATCCAATTTCTGACTTAGTCCTACTAGGAATATGCTGGTCCTCTTTTCTTGATGATGGATTTCAATAGGGGTGTAAGCGAACCGAACCCGACGAACAATGCTTGTGTTCGTATTTGGTTCGTTTGAAATATAGTTTGTTTGAAATAGGCTCGTGTTCGAAATTGTTCGTGAAGGGTCTGTTTGTGTTCGGTTCGATTTGTTTGAAATTAGTTTGAATTGTTCGAAATTGTTCTATGCTCGTGTTCGAAATTGTTCGTGAAGGGTCTGTTCGTGTTCGGTTCGATTTGTTCGAAATTAGTTCAACCGTTCGAACCGTTCGAAATGTTCGAAATTGTTCGAATTTTTCGAATTTGCAAATGTGACATGCTTATCTAGGAAAAACAAAATCAATCAACTGAAACTATTTCAACGTCACAAAGTCAGCAGCATCATTGCTTCAAACTACAATTCTTATCTAGGAAAAACAAAAGCAATCAACTGAAACTATTTCAACGTCACAAAGTCAGCAGCATCATTGCTTCAAACTACAATTCTTTTTAAACCATTTTTATCGATAATTTACAGTTTCATATCATATAATTTACAAAACATCACTATAGAAGAGTCTTCATTCCTTGACACGACAACTGAAGAAACAGAGCGTTCTATTCTCATTTTGCAAATCCAACCATCAGGTTTCCATAGTCGAACTCGGTGTGATAGACTCCCATGCACACATCTCCTAGAATCCTGCAGCTGAAATGGATAACACGAATTTTGGCTTTATATAGCTCAGTTTGGAAAGCTTGAACAGATGGTGGAATGGAAGTGAGGGTGACGGTATCAGAGAGGACCACGAGGAGGGGGCACATCCAGAGCTGTGAATCCACTGATGCATTGTGCAATATGTCCCTTGCCTACCTTTAGAACATACTAAAAACAAAAGGCAGATAAAAAATTAAGGAAAAAATCTACATCACCATGTGTCTCATAATAAAAAAAATATTGGTTCAAATTTCCAATACATAATTAAGGAAAAGGAAGATTTACATACATACCACTCAATTCTGATGTATTTACATATCTAAAAAGCTAAATTTCAATTATTACATACATGCCACCTTACATATGCATGAAAAGTGATGGTATTTTCAAGTTTTATGAAATATTTGGGTGGTAATATAAATGTAAAATTTAAGATTAGGTGTTAGATATGTAAATGCATAGGAATTGGGTGGTGCTTATGTAATGCCCCTAAAGAAAGAAAAAACAAAAAAAGGGTCAGCTTCATCCAAATTCTAATTTTTCTTTGCATTCCAGTTAAAGCACTGTATGATTTTGAATTTCTATTCAACTTTTATTTGCTATTAATTCCTTGACATTAATATTATGAAATAATGGAATTTGTTGGGTGGTTGAATGCAGCTGGACGCAACATTGATTTTAAACATCACAAATCGCATAAACATTAAATTATCTCATCTTCACACACAAAATGTGTAAAAATCTAGTCCATGCATTTTTAATCAACCGACAACATATGTTTCCTCTAGAAAATAAAACAGAAAAAATTCAACCTCATATTAACAGCAGAAAACAAGGGATTACCTGTTCTACTGTGAGATCAAAATTCTTACCACCAATGGTGAAAGAAACAGCAGCCATCAAGGGCAAGGAGTTACAGTCAACAGAGGATTCTCCCATGGGACTTGGCAGTCGCTCGCACAACTGTAGAATAGCTCAAGAATGTTAGGATGCCTAAAGAGGTATTATAAAGTAAATAAGTTACATAAGAAATAAATTAACTTGGTTGGCATAGTTCAGTATTAAATCCACTGTAAACACCAAAAAATAACTGAAAAAAAACATTTCAGTGGATGTCACTATGTCAGCCCTCTCATAAAATTACCTCTGGAAGAGTATTCTGCATCGCTGGGCCTGCCCATGAGACCAAATATTAGCTCCAAAACCCCAAAAATGAAATATAAAAAAGAAACAGAGGTTGTAAAGGAACCAAAATGTCAATTGAATATGCCATGTCAGCAAAGCTACTCCTTTCCTTCATGTATCCTGAATCCTGATCATAGCAAGCAGCCAATTAATGACTATCAAAAACATCATTAAAAGTGTTTGGAGGTGCGGAACTACCAAATCTGATACTTCTTAATAAACTTTAATGAACTTTCCTGTGAACCTTACTATTTATTAATAAAATTTCTTTGTTTATGATAGCAAATATGATACAGTAGAATAATTTTAATATTATTTCCCATCCGATTTTATTGCCATGCTACAACGAAGAAGATGCTGAGCCAACTCTAAACATTTTGCTTTGCTTCTTAAACTCCAAAAAAATCAAAACATAACTCATACTCAGAGGCACCCTCAATTCCATCTAATCACATTACTTGATTAGAGTGGGAAATCTCCCTTAAAGCCATTAAGTGTAGAAATTTTCATATGGTTGATAAAGTATTTGATCGTTCACCCAAAAATAAATGCAACTTCTTGCCAACATATAACTCTTGTTGCGAAAACTTCATAAACATAACAATGTATAGTAAGAAATATTACTCTGATTTTTAAAAATGTAGTAAGAAATAATATTTTGTATAGGTTCTACTCTTCTAGAAGCAATAATTGAATCACAACAATACTCGAATAAAAAAAAAATGCCGAAACCTGTTTGAAAGTAATGCTTAAACCTGTATGCATCACAACACAAATGCATAATAGTCCAAGGTCCCAAGTAGAGCTCAGTGCTCACAAAAAAAAAAAAAACAGATCTACAGTCAATATGAAGATAAACATATCTGGATTTCACTCCCAAAAATTTCAAAACCTAGGTTTCACTCAAAAACCTAAAAAAAATTCTAAAAATTTAACTTAAGAGGCAAACCTGAAGAAAAATATGAAATATTACAGAAAATTTGCTCAAAAAAGACGACTCAGTAGCCTTACAAGCAACCAAGCAAGAATATCGAACAACCAAGCGCCGAAGCAAGAATACCGAGAGTGATCGATCCAACGCCGACTCGCCAATGACAAATACAGTTTATCGAAGACAAATAGAAGTAGAGATTAGAGAACAAACACAAACAATCAACCCTAACCTCTCACCGAGAGAAAACTTTTCGTGATTTTGAGACAAGGAGGGTTGTCGCCGAGAAAAGCTTTTTGCAATTTTCAGAGAAGGAGGGTTCTCGCGAGGAAGCTTTTCGCGATTTTGAGAGAAGACGGAGCTGCCAAAACCAAGCTTTTCGAGAGAGGAGAAAGAGCGGTGTGCTTTTGAGAGAGGAAAGGGCGAACACCACGGGTTAGGGCTTCCGTGACGGTAATAAGGCTTTTTTCATTTGTTTTTATATATTAATATATATAAATAAAATATATAATATATTATATTAATTATATACCTTATATTATATAAATAGATAATATTTATATTACTATTATAGTATATAAAATTATTATTATTAATAATTTATTGTACATTATAATTTGCAGGGTTTAATTTTTAAAATATGTCAAATTTTTTAAGTATATAATTATTTTTAAAATATCATAAATTTTTTATATAAATTTATTTTAATTTTTTTTTTATATTTCAAACAGTAACGGTTCGAACACGAATGAACGAATCACTGTTCGTGTTTGATTCGTTTAA